TTCATCTCGTTCAAGGCTTATTTATTTATTTATTTATTTATTTATTTCTCTCTCGTATTTTTTTAGACTATTTTGTCACTGTGTATTTCATAATATGAATCATTAAGACCGTCATTTACTTTCCGTTATATATCGTATTTATAGATAAGATATTGGGTAAGAAACTTCGACAAAAAGCACAGTCTGCAATTTATGGCAGATTCTACTATAGCATGACACTACTTTGTTACTACTTTATATGACTGCTTCTAATATATTCATGTATACTAAACAGCAAAAAAAAAAAAAAAAAAAAAAAATTAAAAAAAATAAAACGTCAGTACGATTTCAAAATCAGAGAGGCACTTTAATCAAATCATTCTAGAAAACGACTTACTAAATGGATCAAAGCAATTTTTTGTTGACACATTAGTGATTAATTCATCACAATTCCAAGACATTACGAGAAAGTTTAGAGTCTGTACACAGTCTATACATCAGTATCTGATGTGTCCACCGCGAGTGTCGATAACAGCAGCGCAGCGTCTGTACATAGAGTGGACCAGTCGATTGATGAACGCCATTGGCACCTGGAACCACACTCTCAGAAAAGCCTGACGCAATCCATCGGCTGTGTTTGGTTTCGGTGCGATGTTATTAAATTTCCTCTGAATTTCACCCCAAAGATGTTCAATCGGGTTTAAGTCAAGGGGCTGGCCAGTGCATAAGGTTGACGCCGTTCTGCTGTAGAAAGTCTCGAGTATCTCTAGTTATCATTCATATGTAGCAAAGATTAACTTTGTCCGCAAAAATTTGAATTAAATCGACTTTTTCCGCGACTTCGGGGGCGTACAGCCCCTAACTCCAGGGGATGTGCAACTTAAGAATTCCCATTCTGATCATCGGCCATGATGGTGCCTCCGTTAGGCATAGTGCCAATTTTGTCCACGAGTTTAGGAACAACGGTCAGCTAGCTCCCCTACACTGAAAAAACACTTGTGTTGGATCTCAACACAAGTACTTGTGTTAAAACTAATCTACACAAGTTATGTGTTGTTTTGCATTGCATTAACACAAACTTGTGTCGATTTAGAAAATCTTGTGTGTTTTTTCATATCATTAACACAAGTAATGTGTACCTTCCACGATTTGTTTTCTTTTTAAAAAAAAAACTCCATACAAAGTCTGAATTCGGGAGTCGTCAAGTTTTAAGAAAAGTAATAAAGGGCTTAATTCTGATCTCGAAAATCACATGCTGTTCTTCACTGGAAGGGAGTGAGTACCAATTAATCAGACAATTGCCAGACAGACTTGAATGTTAATTGGTGTTAAGTTGTCTGTATAGTTAAAATGTCTGTCTTTTTTTATTGACCCAATAAACTGATAGATCAAATGAATATATAGTGTACATGTGATTTTCAGCACCCTGGTGTTTTCGAAAATTGATTCAATGTGCAATGAACAAAAAAATGATAAAACTCTTAATAATGTAATTGGTTGATGTAGGCCTAATCGAAATTGGACAGTATTGGTTAACTGAAAAGTAACCAATCAAATTTAATTGATCATCCACGTGTATCTCATAATCGACTTATTGATATAATGGTTCTCCAAGTTATCTATACTGCGATATCACCTCGGTGGAAGCGGACGTAAAATACAACTAACACTAACTAACTATCTATACTTTTTGTCTGCGATATCACTTCGGTGGAAGCGGACGTAAAATACAACTAACTAAGAAGAAGTATCTATACTTTAGTCATTGCGACAAATTCTTTCTTTGATATTATATCAGCGACATTCAGTTAGAATGTTAGATGTAGTGATGTTAGCATCAACAGAGTGCTTTAGCCGTGATATTTTTAAAAAAATTATAATGGTCACATAGAATACCAGACCGCAGGTTTGTAAATTTTTACAAAAAATAAAACCGTGTATTTAATTTAGCATGTATATATTGCTTCTATGTATATAATAATTGGTTGCGTTTAAAACAGTCAGATTTAGAACCACTGCCACTCACTGCACCGGAAGTCTATTTATAAAATGGCGCCACAATGAAAATTTTTTTGATGTGTTCTAAAAGTGTTCCGCTAATTCAGCAATCTAATGAATCTGTCTTAATTTTTCTGAAATCGTGCTTAATTATTATTAGCTAATCGGCGCTACACCGTTGTTCAAATACTTATAATTGCAAGAAACCCCCGACTAGGACCAGCAGGTAAGAATCTGTTTTGATTTTATAGTAATACCCGGTTGCAATTATTGGCCGCCATCTTTGATTTTTATAGACGTTCGGGCAAAAGGAGAAATGTATATCCAGACATGGACTATAGCTAGATACTAACTTTTGTGTTAGTTGTTTAGTTGAAATGTAATCTTATTTCTGTAAAAGAAAAAAACAACAACAAACAAATCAGCCTTTATTTATATCAATGTCATCAATGTGTAGGCCTAATATTAGACTTTCAATGATTCAGAAGTTTCTCTACGACTACAGTTTCGTTATTTTTTTTCCAGTCATTGATGTTAGCATGTACTACACTAAGAAAAACAGGTAACAGAATTTCATTTCCTTTTAATATATTTTTTTTAATAATGGCCAATAATTGTTATTGTATGTAACATGAAAAGTATTTATCTCTGTAGAGAGAGGGCGAGTAAATGGGGTTTAAAGTTCACTAAATTCAAACTATGCCATTCATTTCCTTGTATTAAATTGGTCGAATCAAGTAGGTCCATGCCATATATATGTCCTAGAATCAAGTAGGACAGGTAGTCTTCTTCCGTTTCCGCCCTTTTCCTGAACACTGTCTCATTCTATTGCCATCTGTGTATGTTGTGTTATATTAATGCTGCATAAACCTAGAGTTGTTGTTAGTGTTTGTCGGATAGATCCTTTATACTTACTGGCGCTAGGTAATTTCGAGGCTAATATTGTTCAATTTTATTTGAATGATTTGCTTGCGCGTACCGTAGGAGTGTATTAGAAACAGTGTTCGCGCAGGTTCGAGAACGGCTGAAGAACATGAAAACACTTTCATGAGTCTCGAACATGAGAGAACGGTATCCATAGTAACAAGATGAATTAAATTTATACAATCTGTTACGATAACTTGTTTGGTATTGACTTCGCTATTACTGTGTGAACCATCGTAAATTTTAAACGGATTTCTTCGATTATGAACAAACTACTTAACTTTGGTTTTTATAAACTTACCTGTGTGTTTGTAATGAACCCCCGTTCGATAAAATCCATTGCACAACTAATTATCACAATGAGGAGAACAAGTTCTCTCTTGAAAAATTTGAAAATTTACTTGTAATTTCGACAGAGTCGATGTCAACAATGTCTTCGTGACGTATTGGTCGAAATACCTGTTGCGGGGGTTGGTTAACATTGAAAGATAGTTTGACAGCGCGATCATTTTGATCGTATATGGGTTTGGGCGACGAAAAATATCAATTGAAGGCAATTACATAGGAGATTTATATGGAAACCATTGATCGCCAGTCTATCAAATTAAAATATCACTGATTGCACGTATACTCGTAAAAATAAAGTCATGTATAAACTATAAATATCCTATCTTCTTTATGTTATAAATAATTTAACAAGGATCATGAAGCTTACCTCCGAATTCTCTGAGTGTATTTTTAATTTTATACGCATTCTTTCGATCGAATAATAACCGCTTCAGTAACATATATAATGGTATATAATGCTACTAAGCCCGTATGACCGCATAAGAAGCAGAACATTAATTCTCGATTCGACAGTTTTGACCGAAGTGTGATAAAGCCGGTAAAACGAATGTATAGTTGTGTTTGTGCGGCATGCGTGTTCAAAAGTAAATAATCCCATCCGAGTCGCTAATCAAATAATTAGAACAAAATATTTCAAAAAGTAAAGCTATAAAATTTGCAGAGATTTTACTAGAATGTAAAAGACGGTAACTAAATACAGGAATGCGGGTAGTTGTGTGTGCGAACGCTCAAACTCAATGCCAATTGTCGTAGGTATCCAGACCACTCGGACCAAAGACTACTCGGACTAAGACCAGTCGGACCAAAACAAGACCAGTCGGACCAATTAAATTATATTATAAGGCTAGACAATATGCTTTTTATTTATTATTAAATCACAATACAAAGAAGTAAATAATTCTTACACGGAATTCTTATATTTGGAGTTGTTTAGTTATTTTGTGTACGGAAAATAAATCAACGATTAGTTTTAAAATTAATTAATAATGGTGCCAAAAAAAATATCAATCTAATTTTTCTTATTTACTCTTGCAATGAGACTCGGTATGTCCAGACTTTTGACAGTTTCTACATATACATGTATACTGTTCTTGTCTGATAGCCTAATTTTACTTTTTCCACATTCGCGGTATCCCCAGTGGTTTCATTCCGTTCTACCCCACTAACCCCTGGGTTACTATATACATGTATGTGGGGGGGGGGGAGACACGTTTTCAAGTTATCCGCCTTTGATGCGTTAATATAAAGAGCACATAATAATACGAAGACCGGACGTTTATATGCCCCTTTTTAAACGTGACTACAAGTGTGGTTCTCGATATTTTGCGATTTGGAATACAATTATCAATTTATTCAAACAACACGTTATTATTAGTTCGAGTAGTCATATTAAAACACACACAATTAGCAATTTATTCAAATAACACTTTATTATTGGTTCGAGTAGTCATATTAAAATAAACACAATTATCAATTTTTTAAAATAACACTTTATTATTGGTTCGAGTAATCATATTAAAACAAACGCAATTATCAATTTATTAAAACACACTTTATTATTGGTCCGAGTCGTCTTTCTGTTGGGTCTGAATAGTCTTTTTGTATGGTCCGAGTAGTCTATTTGTTTGGGCTGAGTGGTCTATCAGTTGGTCCGACTGGTCTTGAACCGAGTGGTCTTTGGTCCGAGTGGTCATGGATTCTTGTCGTAATTGTACTTGAATTTCCAATGCTGTCACCCCTAATACGAAATGATATCTTCCGCAGAGTGACGTAACCATCTTCCATATTGGTATTTTTCTCTGGGAAAAGTTTGTGATATTTCAATTTTTCAAGAGAGAACTTGTTTTCATCGTTGTGATAATTAGTTGTGCAATGGATTTTATCGAACGGGAGTTCATTACAAACACACAGGTAAGTTTATAATAACCAAAGTTAAGTAGTTTGTTCATAATCGAAGAAATCCGTTTAAAATCTACCAAGACTGAGACAGTAAGCATAATTTTGATAAATTATGACTCCATTTTACTTCTTTTCAATTCTTTGGATGACGATTACATCACCTTTTGATACGCCCACATGGAAATGTGGTCGCATATTGTCATCGCCCTCGTCCGTAGGTTTGTCCGTCATCTACAGACCTGATTATTTTGAAATTGATATGTTGTTTATTTTAATGAGATGAATCCTATTTAATTTCAATAATTTCCGTTTCTTCTGGAGTTATGGCCCTTGTTTCACTTTGTGAAATTCATTTGCATCTTTTAAATTAGTGAAACGAAGACGTCTATTAAATTTCTGCGATTTCCGTGAATTATGTCTAGAGTTGTGGCCCTTGTTTCACTTTTTCGAAACTTGTGAACGCGCGAACAACAAAATTATCATCCGATTTGTATGAAATTTGTATGCATTATTTAAATTAGTAAAACACAAAACAAAAAAATCTGTCAAATTTCAACAATTAAGGCCCTTGTTTCAGTTTGTAGAACCTTTGTAAACCCACAAACGACGAAAATTATAATCTTGTATGAAATTTTCTTGTAAATGCCCACATTACCTACTAAAGAATGAATACGCGACAATCCCTGTTGACTGCGCAAACGATTAAACTGCTATGGGCACATGTTTCGTTGCCTGGCAACCTAACTTACTTGATGTTATACTGGCCACATACTACATCCAATTTTTGAACGGTATTAAACTTTTAAATTAATAAATGCACCCATGATGCTGTTTTCTCAGCAGTTATCGATGCGTCGACCATGTTTGTTCTCCCTCACACCAGCTATGAGGTAGTGTGGGATTTGAGAACGGGAACGTGTTCGTGAACGCATTCCAGACTGCTCAAGTCCGACAAGAACCCATTCTCCGTCCGTTCTCTGCACCGGAACACTGTTTCGAATACACCCTAGGGGTATTTAGCAAAGGGAGGAAACCGGAGGACCCGGAGAAAACCCACAAGGCTGGACAGGCGACCCTATTCCTAGTCACATTCAAGTGGGGAATCACATAATAATGGCCTATTTCAAATAAGATATTTGCATATAAAGAAAGTAGGCCTACAGCCTCTTTTCAAATGTGATATTTGCATATAAAGAAAGTACAAACTTAAATCGTCAGTGCTGGATAAACTAGCCAAAGGATTCGGCTGAATCAATTGGCGCTAAACTTCACCTAGTTTATCCACTGACATACGCCTGAATCAAACATGTTTGATATATTTGGCCGAATTGTATTTGAGTGGTGTGTCCGCTTCGCCGAAGCATTCATCTGATTTTAGAATTCATTAGCCAATCACCACTCATTCACAAACTAGCAGTCGAACTGTGACACGGGTGCTACAGCCAACAAATTCCAACTACCATACTATCGGCTTAAATGCACGCCAATGGGACCTCAGGTTTTGTGTTCCATTGAAACGACTAGAAATGAAATGAAATGGGGTTTAACGTCCTACTGTTTTGCTCTGAACTGGGCTAATGAAGACAGGCATACACCACACAGTGTGCTATGAGGGAAATTTTACCCGGACAGCGGCACTGTGGTGTATCGAATTCCAACTGTCAAGGGATCTGTTACGTGCACGCCAACGTGTACACGGGATCTCGCTTTTTCGTATCATCCGAATGACTAGACAGCTGTCCTTGTCAGGCCCTCCGTCCTGCATCACTGACAAGGGGGGAACCACGCCGGAAAATCTGGGTGAACTTTCTCGGCCAATGCAGGGATCGAACACCTGACCTCCAGGCTAGCGAGCCAGCGTCTTACCCACTTAGCCACCTTGACGACTAGGCAGGGAATCCATGCTGAAAAATCCAAATGAGCTTTCTCGGTCAACACTGGGAGCAAACCCGCAACCTCCCGGGTACCAAGCCAGTGCCTTACACACTTAGCCACATGGCTCTCTTCTAATTACTGTGACAGTCCAGTCACATGACAAACAAGGGTTATTAAAACAGATTTTCACGGCTTGGGTAAGATCTTCGGGATTCAAATGGTTTTAGATATCACACAGTTTGTATATGGTAAGGTATCTTAAACAGTTTATTACATGTCACATATTCATATTTTTCAGTTTCAATATTAGATGCCATAGCAAATCAAAGATCATATAATAGAATAAGTCAAAAAACCCAAATATGGAAAAAGAAAGAGCTGAAGAAATGGTGATTTGAGCACCTATGCTTTCTCATAGGTGTTTTTGGAGGGTGAGTGTTCAATTCTAATAGAAAAGATTGTTGTTATGGTATTTTAGAATCTCACCATAATGTGTTTGGCACAATATAGCCCGGTTGGAACTGATGTGACATAAACCTCCATTTCATTTTATTGTTTTGAAATTTAAAATTCAGTTTAGTATAGTAAATTTGTACACGTACATGTATGTGCACAAACAGAATCTTATGTCCAGATACATGTAGATATGACTGTCTCATCTGTGGTGGACCACGGTGGCCAAGTGGGTTAGACACTGGCTCGCATATTTTAAGGTCGCGGGTTTTCAGTAAGACAATGCAGTACAGAGGACTGGGCTAATGAAGTTGGGCATATGCCATACAGTGTGCTACGAGAGAAATTTTGTCTGGTACCGTGACCTTAAGGCCTTCTCTTGTATCAAATTCTAACTGCCAGGGGATCTTTTACATGCACGCCAATGTGTACACGGGACCACGTTTTTTTGTTCAATCTGAATGACTAGACAGCTGTCCTTGTCAGGCCCTCCGTCCTGCATCACTAACAAGAGGAAACCACGCCGGAAAATCTGGGTGAACTTTCTCGGCCAATGCAGGGATCGAACAACCGACCTCCAGGCTAGCAAGCCAGCGTCTTACCCACTTAGCCACCATGACGACTAGACAGAGAATCCATGCTGAAAAATCCAAATGAGCTTTCTTGGTCAACACTGGGAGCGAACCCGCAACCTCCCGGGTAGCAAGCCAGTGCCTTACACACTAAGCCACATGGCTCTCTTCTAATTACTGTGACAGTCCAGTCACATGACAAACAAGGGTTATTAAAACAGATTTTCACGGCTTGGGTAAGATATTCGGGATTCAAATGGTTTTAGATATCACACAGTTTGTATATGGTAAGGTATCTTAAACAGTTAATTACATGTCACATATTCCAATTTTTCAGTTTCCATATTAGATGCCATAGCAAATCAAAGATCATATAATAAAATAAGTCAAAAAACCCAAATATGGGAAAAGAAAGAGCTGAAGAAATAGTGATTTGAGCACCTATGATTTCTCATAGGTGTTTTTTGAGGGTGAGTGTTCAATTCTAATAGAAAAGATTGTTGTTGTGGTATTTTGGAATCTCACCATAATGTGTTTGGCACAATATAGCCCGGTTGGAGCTGATGTGACATAAACCTCGATTTCATTTTAATATTTTGAAAATTAAAATTCAGTTTAGTATAGTAAAACTGTGAACGTACATGTATGTGCACAGACAGAATCTTACTTATGTCCAGATACATGTAGATATGACTATCTCATCTGTGGGGACCCACGGTGACCAAGTGGGTTAGACACTAGTTCGCATATTTTAAGGTCGCGGGTTTGCAGTAAGACAATGCAGAACGGAGGGCCTTACAAGGACAGCTGTCTTGTCATTCAGATTGAACCAAAAAACGTGGTCCCGTGTACACATTGGCGTGCATGTAAAAGATACCCTGGCAGTTAGAATTTGATACAAGAGTAGGACTTTGGGTCACGGTACCCGGCAAAATTTCTCTCATAGCACACTGTATGGCATATGCCCAACCTCATTAGCCCAGTCGGAGCTGAACAGTAGGATGCCGAACCCCATTTCATTTTTTTCATTTTGTTTCGTCTGTGACAAAGCAAACCAACACATTACCAGTCAATTTAAGTCAACTAATACATAGTATGTTTTTTTTCTCAGTTAACTACATCAGAAAGATCAAGACAGTTGGAAATGGCTATTCATATTATGGAAACTTTTTCTCACCAGAGCTTGATAATCAGGTAAAATGTAAGTACCATACATATTTGTATTTTTTATCATCAACTAGTTCTATACACTTGCTTGGTAATCTAGTTATTCTTCTTGGGGCAATGCCTAGGACTCTCCTATTCAAGTCGTGGCATTCTTGATTTTTGACAATCACATCCATTGATTTTCTTCAAGTTGTGATAGACCCTATGTGTATTTTTACAGTAAATAGCAGTATAAAAATGATGGACAATATTTTACTTTTCAAATAGATTTTAATAGGTAATATCCAATTTGTTGTCGATGGAAATAAAATATATTAATCTGCCTGGGTCTGTTACTGGACAAGACACAATAAGTGTTACCCAAAGATGAAACAAAATAGAGACTCAGTCTTGATGTGGCAAAATAAATTGTTTATTTAAACATTGTGAACCATAAATAGTAAGAAAGTATTCTTATTGCCTACTTTTTATTTTTTAGGCTGGAAGATTATTTGATGTATGATAACAACAAGAGATCCCAAGCACCAATATATTTTATAATTCTGGAAAAAAATGCATTTGACCCAATTTTTGAATATTTATTTTTTGTTTTTACTGTTAAATATTCTTCCCAAACACAATTAGATTTTAATTCTCTACAGAAATTTATGTATAATATAGAATGTAAAGTGACATATTAATCACTTAGAATTTGGTCGGAAATTATAAAGTATTTAATAGGCATAATCTAGAAACCAAATGTAGATCAAATATACCCAGAATTACAAAAAACCTTGACCTACATTAAGGTGACTTTCCCTTGCTTATGAAATGAAATAGGGTTTAAAATCCTACTTTTCTGTGTTATTATGGTGATTCTGCCCTACAACCTACTCTTATATCAAATATTTCAACTGTCAAGGGTTGTTTAAAGGGAACCCAGGAGGGCCGAATGGTTAACACACGCACATTGGATCAGAAGGTCTGTCATTGAGTCAGATAATTCAATTGTCAAGGGTTCTTTAAAGTAAACGCAGTGGGGGTAGTTTCAATTCCGGGCTTATACCCAATTATCCCTTGCCATGTCCTACACTACTAACGTGTGGGAACTATGTCGGAAAATCCAGTTGAAATTTCTTGGCCAATGCCTTATACTCACTGAACCACAGTGACTCCTCCTTGCTTTTGACTTGTGATTTTATATATATATTTTGTACATATTATTTAATGTTTGCGATTTTCTCTGATATTTTTTTATTTTTCAATCCTGTAATCTTGATGCTTTGCTCCTTTTATGTACAAAATATTCATTTTGTTTGTTGTTTTTTTTTAATGAGGAAAAGGTTCTACATCATTTTATTACTCCTGCAAAATAGTGCATTTTTCTTTTGTTAGTTTTCTGTGTATGCTAGTTATTTCCAGATGCCTCACAAATCACTTGTAATATGACTTTGTAGCACTTTTCAGTTTCTTAAAGTATTTCAATTTAGTGCATAATTAATCTAATTAGGTCTTGGTTTGGATGTTATTAAATTTAGATATATTTGAATTATATATTTTTGGGGTATGGGGTAGGGATCTTTCTTTTCTCAGTTCTTGTTTTCGGGTAAAGAAAAAATTAAATAGCTATTTTGTATTTTGTGATGTGGTGGGGGGGGGGGCAAAGTATAACAAAAACTTTATTAGTATTAGAATTATATCTCTGTTTTTTCTGTTAACATTTCAAATGATGTCTATTTAGTTTTGATTTGGTGGTGTTAATTTACTTTTTCCTATCATTTTATGAATAAATGATAATTTAACAAATAAAATTGTTACCTCATTTATCAAACTTTATCAAACTTTACAGGTTAAACAGAGCAAAAGGGGTGGGGGCTGCATGGGAAAGATTGCTAAATTGAGGGAAAATAAAACACAAGTTTTTGTTGGTGGTTATACACAAGTTTTTATGAAACCACACAAGTTTCAGAAATTTCAACACAAGTTTCAGAAATTTCAACACAAGTTTCAGAAATTTCAACACAAGTTTCAGAAATTTCAACACAAGTTTCAGAAATTTCAACACAAGTTTCAACACAAGTATTGTGTAGAATTTCACACAAGTTTCAACACAAGTTTGTGTTGTTTGGTAAATTTTAACACAAGTCTTGTGTTGTTTCAACATTTAACACAAGTCTTGTGTTGTTTCAACACAAGTTTGTGTTGTTAAATAGAGACACCTAACTTGTGTTGAAAACAACACAAGTTTGTGTTGTTTCAACACAAGTTTTTTTTCAGTGTACTAATGAGCAGTCCCACCTAGTTTCGAAATGTCCGCAAGTATCTGAATTGACTCATTTCTCAGCAGACACTTCCAACACCCTCCAAGAATCCTTGCCACAGTCGTGGACTTACAATAACCTGACAGTCTAAATATTCTCCAACAAACAAATATTAACTTTTTAAAGCTTTGCTTCGATTTTTTCTATTTTACAAACATATATACATTTATCGACCGGCTTGGGCGGCCTTTTGAGCTAGATCTTGGATTTTCTGCATTTCAGCTTCTATAGCGCATTGGATAGCAGAACTTTGAACATGGGTATTGCAAGAAGCAGAGGTCTTGGTGACGGTATTTTCACTGGCAGTGGCTGTGCAACTCTCTGAATAAAATAATACATTAAAAATTAATAATGAAAATAAAGAATCAATGAATGATTAACCTTTCAATATTAAGTTTAATTGTCGCCCAAGTACGACCGTTCTGAAGAAAAACAAACGTAGACGAATATCGAACAGGGCCTTGTTTCTCGAAATCTTAACTAAAGATAAAATCCAAATTTTAGCAGATACTTCAATTTCAATCTGATTAAAATACAGATCTATATTTCGTTTCGTTTTTTTATACTTTCAATGGCCTACACTACATGAAGATCTGACAAGTTTTAGCGATAGGTCACGTAAGGGGTCAAAAGACCGACTTATGACCCTATGATGTCAGACATTTGATTAACCAATCAGCATTGATGTTACTAGTGGATTACCCACGGTTCCGTGCAAAACACGCCTAAAGCTCGCCGTGACAGACCGTTTCATTGGCTTATCCCTGACACCATTCAGAACACGAGTTCAATAACAACTCTTCCAGATCCTATTGTAGTAAAGACAAGTAAAACGAAATTTTGAACTTTAAAAAACAAAATGAAATAGGATCTGTGTGTTAGATTGCTTCAATTTTGATTTGCTAAGCACTAAAATCAATCTAATATTATCCATCAAAGTACTAAAATTTGGATTTTATCTTAGTTAAAATTTGGTGAAACAGGCCCCAGAACTCGAACTAGGTGTTTAGTCTTTTGTATTTATACCAGACGGATTGATCATAAAAAAATCATTTTACTTTTCCCTTCAAAAGTACGTTTTATGGCCCCCAAACATGACTTTTCTAAGAAAAAATCCAAAGTCATCGGACATCTAGAAGAACTGGGGCCTGTTTCACGAAATTTTAACTAAGATAAAATCCAAATTATAGTAATTTGATTGAATAATATTAGACTGCTTTTAGTGCTTAGCCAATCAAAACTGAAGTATCTACAAAAATTTGGATTTTATCTTTAGTTAAGATTTTGAGTAACTGGGCCCTGGAATCAACTTAGACATACAGACGTTTTTATTAATAACCAAACAGATTATTCGTGAATACGGTTGTTTTTACGCGTGGTGGTGGGTTTTTTTTCATTTTGTTTCTAGTCGCCAAAGTTCGAAACCTGGCTTGTCTTGATAAAAGTTCGTATCTTTTTATAAGCGACATTCCGTTTACACTTTAAGATAAGGCCCGGGTACTTTAGATAATATTCAACATGTGATATAACAACTGGCCCCGAGGTCACAAAACATTCTCAGACTTACGAATTTACTCAAAATTGGTCGCCTTATTTTAACTAAAATATAGAACTTTATAAACCTTTTGTTATTTTAATGTATCAAATACATCAATAAGAAATTATTTGCAAAGTTTTGTGTTTCTGGATCAAGGATATTTCTCATTAACAGAGAGTAAATTCTTAACCTAAGTCTGAGAATGATTTGTGAACTTGGGGCCAGAACCTTGTCTTACTCGTAGGTTGTATCTTAATATTAAGGACATTCCGTTTACAATGGATAAGGACAGGGGACTATAGCAGACAAGATTACAGAAGATGTCCAAAATCTATTCTAACGTACTATTGACCAGGAACCGAGAATAAATCGAGGACCGCCAATTGTCCAAGGAACAAATATTCATCCCAAAATACCGTATTTAAAACAAAATACATTTTTATCAGACCAATTTCATTAATAGTTATTGTTCAAAAACGTAGCACTAAAATATGTTGATGGACTATGTCCTATATAAGTTGCCAGTCTGATTACAATACAGATCTATATTTCGTTTCGGTTTTTTTTATACTTTCTATGGCCTACATTACATGAAGATCTGACCGGTTGTACTGGAAAGTCGTGTCAGTGGTCGTACGAACGACGTTTGACCCTATGACGTCAGACATTGATTAATCAATCAGCATTGACGTTTCTAGTGGTTTACCCACAGTTCCGTGCATCGCACGTCAAGAACCCCCCGCCGGTAATATAAGAACTGTTCCAGATCCTAGTGTAGTAAAACGAAATTTTGAACTATAAAAAACGAAACGAAATAGGATCTGTGTTTGAATCAGATTGTATAGATTGTATACATTCAGTTAAATATCGACTTACCATGAAAGATGAATCGCTTTCCTTTAACAAGATGACATCTTCCAACATTGTAGTGAATTTTCAAAGTTGTGTTGGGAATAGTAACCTTGAGAGAGAAAAAAATATATTAAAATTAATAAGTGTAGTATTAGGAGAAACAGAAATGAATGAAGGAACAAACTAGGGTTTAACGTCCTACTTTTCTGTTCCAAACGGGCTAATGAAATGGGGTTTAACGTCCTACTGTTCTTCTCCGACTGTGCTAATGAAGACGGCCCACGTCATACAATGTGCTATGAGGGGAATTGTGCCCGGGCAGCGGCACTATGACCTACTCTTATATCGAATTCCAACTGCCAAGTGATCTTTTACGTGCATGCCAATGTATACACGGGACCTCGGTTTTTCGTACCATTCGAACGACTAGACAACTGTCCTTGTCAGGCCCTCCTTCCTGTGTCACTAACAAGGGGGAAACCACGTCGGAAAATCCCGATGAATTTTCTCGGTTAATGCAAGGATCGAACACACGACCTCCAAGCTAGCTAGCCAGCGTCTTACCCAGTTAGTCACGGTGATTCCCCGGGGCTAATGAAGACGGGAACAGACATTGCAAGTTTGACAAATAAATTGATGGGGGACAGTATTGTAGTTCAAACTCATCAAAAACCTGTATCCGCGCCTGATTCTTGTCGTTTAAACATTAGTCCGCGATGAAACTAAAATATACTTACATCTCCGCTTTTTCCCTTGATGAGACCAGATATACTACCAACAGCCTTTCCAATCCATTTACCGACATCAACTTTATTCGCCAAGAATTTAGCGATAACTGGTGCATATTTAACTAAAGTAGCAACTTGGCGTTTCTCCTGCTCTCCATAGACGGACACAACACACACCAGAACAACAAGACCTGTAGTGAAACAGGAAATTATTGAATCATTAAACATACATTATGCAAGAGCTAAATCTGCCTATTGCAGGTCTTTCTTTAGGCCTGAAATGTTATCTAAATTATTAATTAGACATTAATTAACTTATTCAGACCATAATCAACTCTCGATGTCATCGCTAGCCTGCGGTATTTACTAGATTGTGATCCGATTTTCTGCTCAACTTTCATTCATGATTTAATCATGAAATGGATCGAAACTATGTTTTTTATCGTACCGACTTTAGTAATGATGATCGAGGCTAGACCGAAAATTCAATCGTTAAATTCTCGGTTCAGAGTGGATCAATTTGACTGAACTTTTCAGCAAATTCCTTTTACATTATGTATTTTTTGTAACTATTATAGTGAGAACTTTCAGCTCTTTATCTAATCTCCCATAATGTATCTTTAAATACCATCTACTAATCCAATAGACGCAACTTCGATTTGGTATAATATATCAAATTATTACCATAGAATGTGCTCTCAATCGGAACATGGGATTTATAAAATAAACAAAGGTGACTTCAGGATATGCTCTAAATCGGAAGATGGGAGCATTTTGTAATGAAATAAAAATGACTATAAGCGGGCTCCCAATTCTTTCGTCAGTCAAAACCCTCTATCTCTATATTGGCTTTCATGTATGTATTTAGAAAATACTTTCTAACTATTCCAAGCACATAATTCTCAAAAATGTAACCGCTGTTTTTAAAAAATCATCGCCTCGGCAGTTGCATTAATTCTCCCATATTCTTGAAGCAATGGCCTGAGAAATCCCTCTCTGGCCATTGCTGGGTTGACGTCACACTGATCAGCAGTGAATATTAAGACTCATTATTCTCTGTGAAACAGATTAGGTTGACTTCTGATACTTGAGCTTTTGAGGGAGTGTGTCTATTCTTCCTATTCAATCAAAATCTATCCCAAGTACAACAACATGACAGCCCTTCGTTTAATCTGGGGTCTTCCCTAAAACTTTGGACATAGATTTGTGGTATTAAAAACAGTGAAAGTGTTGTTCGTCTCCAAACAGTATTGTTTATATTGTATCCGTTTTGATAGCCTCGTTTGTCACGCAATTAGTTTTGCTGCAATATTCTGCTATGCACTGATTAATTGGGCGTAATAAAATCGGGAGTCATGATGTAACGTTATATAAACATATTTGGTCCAGTTTGGTGCTCTGTTTAAAGCCTAATGATATTGCTGCGCAGTTAGCTATTGGTTGTTGTTAATCTGACTATTGACCAGTCATAATTTGGAACAGAAATTTGCTTCCATTACAGCAGTGTTAAGTGTGATTAGGTCTAATCAAACGAAACACTGCGAGGAGTATGTAATACTCCCAGGATAGATGATGTTTTGTTTATTAAAATGATAAAATACTTACATAAGACCTTCATGACTGCTTATTTCAGGGAATCAAGAACGATTGATCCTCCTTGTGCACGTGCTTGTTTTTATAGACAGACCTCAGACCTGGTTTATCAAAACGTGTCAAGATAAGATCGGTGATGTCGTGAGAAATAACAGAGGTATTTGAAAATGGTCAATCATCTTAAAATGGACATCATTGATTTGGTTATATAATTTAATTATTTTTTAATGTATTGTGTTGATTTGCTTGTCAGGTATAAAGTGGATTTATGTCTACATTTGAAATAATGTCGGCGTGCACGCAAAAAGCCCGATAGTTGGAATTCGAATAAAGAGTAAAAGGCCGTAGTTCCCTGTAACCCTTTTAGGTTCTTTGAATCGGTCCTGGATGACAACACTATTTTAACTTCATGTGATACTTTTATTCTTCTTCTAACATACCATGTACAAAATTTAAGACCCCGTAATTAGCTTGTGTTGAGGGAGCCATGGTCCTAGCTTGGCTTGACACCCTTGGCTGCCAACTCCCAACTAATTACTTACATGGCCCCTGTCCGGTCTTAACTCAGACGCTGTCGCCTTCTCTGTTCTATCTCCTTATAATCCCTTTCTAGACTACGGATGGCAGAAGAGATTATGAAGCTGGATATATTGCTTCAGCTATAAGTTTATATGGGGATAATGACTAATGAGTGCAATATGGACAACCATGGCTGTCAATAACCGACATAAAGATATTTAAATCAATTCTGCTTCCATGTGTCAAGATAGCACGATAACTATCAATAACATCTGCATGATGTATGTCCGTCTTTATTAGCCCAGTGGGTGCAGAAGAGTGGGGCGTTAAACGCCATTTCATTTGAGAGTATCTCAATTTAACACCAAGAGTAGTGTTGCCTGAATACCCTCGTGGCTTTTCTTCAAGTCCCCCGATTTCCTTCAACTACTAAACCTCCTACGCGCAAGCAAATTATTGAAATAAATTGTATCATATGTTAGTCCCGAAATCAGTGGCGTTTGGAGGCCCCCTTAGAAAGTTACATCAATTTTTTATTTCATTCTCAGTCGAATTAAATTAAATCTGCTTGAAAGAGATAGAACAATTTGAGTATTAAAGGTGAACTTGACAAAGAAATTGAGTGAGTTAGCATTGTACTTTCATAATTTAATTTTAGTATTAATTTAGTTTATTATATAGCACTATGCTTTATTTAAAATGTCCAATGGAAATACATGAATAAGCAATTTTTGAAATTCAAGATATTATAGGTCAGTAGCGAAGATAAGATAAAAGTTCATTTGTAATCAGTGAGTTATATGTACTAAACAGCAACAAAAAACCCCCCCAAAAAACGTTGACACAATTCCAAGACATTACGAGAAGTTTTAGAGTCTATACATCAGTATCTGGTGTGTCCACCGCGAGTGTCAATAACAGCAGCGCAGCGTCTGTACATGTAGTGGACCACAGGATTTTTGGCACCTGGAACCAGAGGCGTAGCCGTGAAATATATATTGGGGGTCCGCAACCCTAACCCTAACCCTAACCCTAACCCATTTTTTAAAACCCCTAAAAAATATAAACAAACACCATGTGGCCATGCTGTCTACCAAGACACCGCGTACAAAAGCATTATGGTTACGTTGCTGGCTGAGCGGGCGATAAATATTTGGTTTAGGCGGTTATGTTTTTGGGTACCTACATGCGATTCATTCTGATAAGTGGCAGAAAAAAATTAACAAAATATTACTGACAGGCTTACTAGACACAATTTTATGCAACACAGGTACCTTCACTTCACACATGTTTCCAGGATGATTATCTCTGTGTTTTATTTTAGCAGTATAAACCATATTGGGATATGTACAGGTTTTATACAGATAGAATCTTAACTGATTCCTAATAATTGTTGTAAATAAATAGGAGTTTGGGCCTACTATGTTGTTTTGTTTTTTGGGGTTTTTTTTGGGGGGGGGGGGTCCAAGTGTATTCAGACTTTTGCTACTTAGTATATAATTGATGTTGTTGTCGTAAGAAAACGAAAATCTTCCAATTACGTTTGCATCATGCATAGATTTTCGATTTATTTATGTTTCTAATTACTGGCCACCACCAAATATTAAAACATGGAAAATTCAAATGGAAATAAACAATTTGTAGAGAGAAAGACCCGCTTACATTTTAAGTATAATGTGAATGATTTGTTTGAAAATATATTTGCGAAACCTATTAAAGTAGATATATATATATATATATACATGGCTACATGTGTGAATGTTGTCGTAGATGGGACAGGGTGTACATGATATCAGACAGCCAATATTTTTGTCCAGTTCCAAACAACTACTGGGGCTTGGGGTGTGCGTAACGTTCCAGAATTGAATTCTCTCAATCCCAAAAATAGTGACAATCGAGTGAAAAGGAGTATTTCGGGCTACAGAGCATGCGTCGACTGGATATATAAATATCTCATCCAACCATGCAGCCGAAACTTTTGTTGTGTTTAATTACGTCACAATTCTACTCACACCACATCCGTAGTCGGGACTGACAGAACTGGGACAGGACTGAATTCCGCGTCACTCCATTGCAATTCTGTCAATTCGGGACGTTCTGGACTGTGAATCGAGCATCCCCTTAGGGTTATATATAGGGTCCGTCATTGAGTCAAGTAGCTTGTATGACAAGGGTATAGATAGGGTCGCCTGTCTGCAACCTCGTGGGTTTTCTCCTCATCCCACTGTTCCTTCCATTACTAAACAGCTTACACGTAATCGAATTATTCAGATAAGGGTGTATGATAAAACCTTGGCGAGTTTCCTTATCTGGCTAACGCGATTGCAGTTCAAATCAAAGAGTTATATAGATACTATGGTTCCAATACACATCCTTCGGATGGGACGAAAAACCGAAGTCCCGTGTACACATTGGCGTGCACGTAAAAGATCCCTTGACAGTTGGAATTCGATATAAGAGTAGACCGTAGTGCCGCTGTCCGGGCAAAATTTCCCTCATGGCACACTGTATGGTATATGCCCGTCTTCATTAGCCCAGTTCGGAACAGAGCAGTAGGACGTTAAACTCCATTTCATTTCATTTCATTTCCAATACACATCCATTCCGTCTCGGAAGTCACGACTACACAAAGGTAATGCAGAGTTGCCTAACCTTTAATGTTTTTGTCACATTGGGGATACGCGATTGAACGTTCCGGAATTAAATTCTCTCAGTTCCAAATCGAGTGAATCGAGTGAAAAGGAGAATTTCGGAGTACAACGCATGTGCCGGCTGCATAAAAAATATATCAACTGAAACATATTTGTTACTTAATGCCCCCGTTAGACCGGGGTGGCGTCCTTACTGCGCTGAAGCGACCGTAATGCGACCAGAAAATACACAAGATCGCCGGCAAACGTAAACACAACACGGGAAAATGTCCCAAAAAATTACAAACTTGAAAAAAGACGCGTTCTTACAGCTTTCCAGGTTAGATCGCAGACCTTGGCATTTGTTTTGAATATGCTTAAAACAAACGCTGTGACTCGCCGATCATTGGCGACCATGGAGACCACAGCACGATATCTGTCGTTTCCACCACGCTTTAATCACGCAAATGGCGATCTTGACGCGTTCTCCGACCATTTTCCGTCGCCGTAGCGTCGCAGTAAGGACGCCGCCCCGGTCTGCATGACGGGGGTATAAAATACGTCACGATTCTACTCACACCACCTCAGCTGTCGGGACTGGCATTCTTACAACCTTGGTATTACATACTTTTACATTATTTGCGTAAATTGGCGGGAAGTTTCAGTCTGATTTTTGGGAAATTCGGACTCAACCATAATTATGGTGTAACGGTGATATATTTGAACGATTTTGAAAATAAAATAAAAATTGCTACCGCTAGAGGACCCACAAGTTAAAAACGTGATTTTTCGAACAATCACTGTCCATAATCCAGAAAGTTACGACCCGATAAGAGCAAATCGGAAATAAATTGTGATAGAGCACGATCGAGATAGTTCAAGGATGGCTGAAAAGGCTGATACGTGTGTAGATTTGACTGAAAACTATAAAATTACCGATTGCCAATGCATTGGAGTTTCCGGGGCCCCGGCGGCCCCATGACCCTCGCCTAAAGTCCTAGGACGGTAGCCCTCCTAATCAAGAATTGCTTTCGCCGCCCCTGGTATCACATCATATCAATCTGATTTCAAAATTTGACCCTGACCTATATCATAACGATTCTGTTTCTTGAATCTTCCAGGACGGAGGGCCTGACAAGGACAGCTGTCTAGTCCTTCGGATGAGACGAAAAACCGAGGTACCGTGTATACATTAGAATGCACGTAAAAGATCCCCTGGCAGTTGGAATTCGATATAAAAGTAGGCGATAGTGCCGCTGCCCTGGCAAAATTTCCCTCATAGCACACTGTATGGCGTATGCCCGTCTTCATTAGCCCAGCATAGGAGCAGAACAGTAGGACGTTAAACCCCATTTCATTTCATTTCTTGAATCTTCAATCATTTTAGTTACAAAGACAAAAGATGGAAAGATTCTGATTTAATCAGTTTATTACGGGTATTTCCGTCTACTAGTAAATTTTATAACATAAATTACATCTTCTAATGTTTGATTCATAAATATCTAAACATTCCAACCTTAACATGGCGTGAAAACCCTTAATGCTGGCCATCACGGGGACCGAAGTTGGCCTGATTAACATAGTTGTTGTTGTCTTGGTAACCATAACGTTGAGGAGCAGAAGCATACACTACTGTACCGTAACCTGGATGACCTTGTTGGTAATTAGACTGTTTATGCTGGTAAGTTGGATGGTCCAGTTGGTATGTAGGATGAACTTGTTGGTAAGTATGTTCCAGCTGGTAGGTTGGGTGTGGCTGTTGGTATGTAGGATGTTCCTGTTGGTAAACGGGGTGAGCTTGGTAGTATGTAGGATGACTCTGATAAACAGGCTGGTGTTTTGGCTGTTCGACGGCGTATCGGTTGTAGGTGTTGTAGTTTACGTTGTTGATTTGGGGCATAAAGTTGAAACGTCTCACGAGGTAGCTATAAGGCTTCGTGTTGCATCGGACTTCGATCTGGGGATGACCTTGATTACAACCTTTGCAGACGCTGACAGTGTAACTTCTCTTCTGTTGGTAATGGCCGACGTACCCATTTTGTTCCTTAGCAACCTTAACCAGGGGAATGGCGTAGAAATATTGCAAGGCCTTTTCGTAGTTGCCTTCTTTATAGTAGTTGTGGACGATCTGGTTTTTTTCAACGACGACTTTGCCTGGATGAAACGATTGGACGAAGTTGACATTGGGTCTGTTGCCTTTCTGGTTATGGTAACCGTTACCATAGTAACCATTGTTACCACCCAAACCAAGATTGGACACCGGTAAGTAGTTTCCTACGTAACTTCCACCAGTAGATCTCTTCTTGCGATCCAAAGCTGAAAAAAAAATATCAAGCTTTCAAATAAATTCAAACTGCCTATTCTTTATGGGGGAGGGAGGGGGGTATCATAAGGTCTATCATTGAGTCAACTGGCGTGGTTTCGATTCCCCAGTTGTACGTGACAAGGAGAAGTGTCGCTTATAGCGAAATAAAATCTTAGCTGGGTTTCGGATTCAAACACACATAAAAAATAAATCGCTATTTTTGACTTGGTTATATCAAGTCAAACCTTGGCTTTACTCACACATAAATCCAGAAATTATGTGCAAATATTTTTCAAATTTGGTGTTTATTTATAATATTATATCAAAGTAAAGAACAGAAGAACTAAATCCAAATATGAGATTATGTTAAACATACATTACGCAAGAGCTAAATCTGCCTATTGCAGGTCTTTCTTTAGGCCTGAAATGTTATCTAATTAATTATTAATTAGACATTAATTAACTTATCAAGACCATAATCAACTCTCGATGTCATCGCTAGCCTGCGATATTTACTAAATGGGAATACATTTTTTGAATAAAAATTAAACGTAAAAATGGATAATCGAGACTGTTTTTTATCGTACCGACTTTAGTATTGATGATCGAGGCTAGACTAAAATTCTAAAGTTAATATCTCAGTTCAGGGAAGAGCAATTTGACTGAAATTTTCAGCATATTCTATTTACGTTATCTATTTTTTAACTATTATAGCGCGAACTTGCAAATTTTTATCTAATCTCCCATAATGACCCTTTAAGTTTTGTTTACGTATATTCGGTTACGGCAACACATTTTAAAATCTTCTGAAGCGATTTGAAATATATTACATTTATGAACTTTTATCCCGAGTTTCTTTTCTTTAGGCATATTATGTGAATGGACTAAGGTAAATCAACTAAATGTTTTATACTTACGAGCAATCACTGTTTCATCGAATCCGTCATTCTCTAAAGAACTGATGGCCGCGAAAACTGTATCGAAAGATTGGTTTTCTACAGCAAATACTAGGCCCAACGACAACAAGGCAACGATTGGAAGAAACGACTTCATGATGACTCGACAACCGACCACTGGATCTTGGTGAGATAACCCTGAGAGTGATGACAAACTAGCAGACTTCTGGGGATATTTATACTCATTTTTGCATATCGTTTAATTTGAAGTATTTGGACTGTTTTGGGCGCTGTCAGAAATTTATAATATTATGTAAAATCAAAGAATCTTCAGCAATTGACCCTTGTTTGGTTACATTGGTGAAGGGCCTTTGAGTTGAGTTGGGTTGAAACAAGGAGGGTAATTGGTCACTGCGTGTATTTAAAGGGACTATCCCGATTTGAACAGAGTCTCAACAATAATCCGAGTATGTATGAAATTTAAGCGCCAAAATATAGAGGAATGGTATATTTACCTTGTCTCAAAGTTTCAGTTCAAAATATTGAGTCGTTTGGACGTAAACGTCAAAACTGCTTATCCGGACACGCAACCCTTTTAAGATTTGATAATCGATCCCCGTTCCTTGAGAGGACTATACATTGAATGACCCATGTGCTGCATTTGATAACGATAGGTAAATTTAACGTACACATTGATTTTATAGAAAAAAAAAATGTCTGGTTTTATCCAGACACCGCATAATACAGCTTGAGACACCGGTCTCCATTTCCAGATGAAGACTGACAGATTTAGGTTGTTTGAAAACTTATCACAAATATGGAGTTAGTTGCTCGGCCCTTAGGTAGAGGATTTTAGGGGATTTTAACACAAAATTAAGCAGTTTTATTCTCCAAAAAAATTATCGGGATTAGCCCTTTAATGAGTTTATGTATTTAGAGTAACACTGTCTGTTTCTGTGCGTAGAGTGGCCGTTAATAGTAAGTTGGTAAAGTCAAGAAAATTTCGTTCAATTAAAAGCGATTTGTTTGAAGTAAATTTTTGATTATTGAACTAAGGTGTTTGTTTCCATCATTAGTTCTAATTCTACACATCAAGTGACACTTAACATATCTTAGGATATTTCATTTCAGTTAATTGGGCCATGTCCTAAGGAAAGACAATTCCCCGAAAGTTTAAGTGGTATTAAGATTCACAAGAATCATAAGTTTAATTGTTGTTGGTTGTTTTCTATTTTCAAACGCTATATCAACAGAATTTAAGAAACGTAAGCGCTTTTATTCATGTCTTCTGTGTTTACGTTCAGGTTATCTCCTTTCTTTTTTTCGGTTGTACGTGACAAGGAGTAGGGTCGCCTGTCCAACCTGGTGGGTTTTCTTCGCATCCTCCGGTTTCCTCCCACTGCTAAAGACCCGTACGGCAAGAGAATCATTGAAATAACATTGAGTCATATGTTAGTCCCGATTTGACCTAGTTTTATCGAGTGTATGTTACACAAAACATATGACACACAATGCCCAATGTTAGACAAACTTTCATGCAGTAGTTCAAACATAGTTTATCTATTTTCATGTAGACAATGGGACAAGCCATACGTAGGGGAGACCCAAAATGCACTTCGGGAAAGAATTAACGGCCACCGGTCTCACTTCACTTCAACCAACCAAATCATGACATTTCTGATCTCATTGTCACACCAATAGAAAAGGCTAAGAGCGATTTTGAAACTACATAATAAATTACAGCGTTTAGGCTAACAAGAGAAAAAATCTGGATTGACAAATTGAAAACAACAGCCCCCCCCCCCCTCTTAAGTTTGAATAATCATACGGCTAGCACAATAGTCCCCTTTTGTAGTCAAATTTAGCGCAACAGCAGCAAGTACATCCCAAATCATTAGAAAACATTTTACTGATCTCCATCTTGTGTACAGTAAATTAGACTAAATAACACCAGTCCTCGCCCTAACCCAAAGCAAACAATATATCAAACCCTAGCCTTAACCCTTAGTAAATAAAATCAACTAGTTATAAGAATCCCTAGCCCTAATGTAATTCCAACCCTTAGTAAGAAACACTAATGTGGCTCTCACCCGAGAGCCTCAAATTTATTTTTCTTCAGAAATGTTATAGTGTATCTTTGTATATATTTTATGATATAATTTTTAGTTATAGTAGAAATCGACCAATGTCCGAATTGATATCTCACTAATCTTTCAAGTCCTTTAACTGTTTGGTTTTAAACTTAATGTAACGATATATATTATGTAATTATAGTTAACACGCGTTCTTGCTATGTCGATATCTTCTTCTGTATTTAAACATCTGTTTCCTATGTACAATTTAACATCTCTGATCAAATATTATTATATAATTATTTTAATCCTAAGCTTGTATATATGTTCTATATTCTACTGTAACTTTAGTCTGGTGACCGGCTCGCCGTAGCGATACCTATCTCGTTATTGTCACCGTTAGCCAGTTTTGGACACTCGTTTATTAAAAGTACAATTTTAACTATTTATCTGAGTTTTCGTCGTTAGTGTTGGAATAAGCTACAACCCCCAGAAAACAGCACTTTGGCAGAAACAAAAATACCAGGTCCTAGGTCAGTGGAGACTTAACCTCTCCCCCAAAATACCAGGACTTAGGTCAGTGGAGACTTGACCTCTCCCCCAAAATACCAGGTCCTAGGTCAGTGGAGACTTGACCTCTCCCCCAAAATACCAGGTCCTAGGTCAGTGGAGACTTGACCTCTCCCCCAAAATACCAGGTCCTAGGTCAGTGGAGACTTAACCTCTCCCCCAAAATACCAGGTCCTAGGTCAGTGGAGACTTGACCTCTCCCCCAAAATACCAGGTCCTAGGTCAGTGGAGACTTGACCTCTCCCCCAAAATACCAGGTCCTAGGTCAGTGGAGACTTGACCTCTCCCCCAAAATACCAGGTCCTAGGTCAGCGGAGACTTGACCTCTCCCCCAAATTCTTAAACCTAACCCTGGACCTAGCCCTAATGCTTACACTAACCCTAATCTACAATCTCGCCAACAATCACGTGTCTTAACCTTATTTACATCTCAGCGACTTTGACAAAAATTGAGCTGGCTTTAACAAACAGTTATAGTTATACGCCTAAAACACAGTATTTGTCCAGTTTTCAATTTTTTGATGTTATATACAGTTGGAAACAACTTCCAGATATTACAGTCCATTTCTTATATTCAACAAAGAGGGGGGGTGGGGGGATGCCCGAATGGTTAGCACGTGCGCGCTGTATCATAAGGTCTGTCATTGAGTCAGCTGGCGTGGTTTCGAATCCTCGGTTGTACGTGACAAGGGGTAGGGTCGCCTGTCCAACCTCGTGGGTTTTCTCCGGGTCCTCCGGTTTCCTCCCACTGCTAAAGACCCCTACGCGCAAGCGAATTATTGAAATAAAATTAAACCATATGTTAGTCCCGAAATGACCTAGTTTGTGTCGAGTGGACGTTAAACCCCATTTATCTCTCTCCCTTGTATTCAACATTTGTAATAATGACCTCTCCTATGACCACCAAATTCTTCGTTGTTGAGTTACAGCAATAAAGATGTCCACAAAATAGCTATTTTTATGCGTTATGCTGTTTCACTTCAATAAATTATATTTTGAAACTCAAATTAATATATTTTCTGTGACATTTTTGGAAAGGATATAAATGCATGCTTATATAAAATCGTATAATAAATTTCGGTATTTGCATTATACAAATAGATCGTGTATTAAGGGAGTTGTGTTTCTGTCACAGTGTGCATATGCATAAAAAATACTGAAAACTTCCAATAAAAATGTTATCTTCAGTAATATTATATTACTCTTGAAATGTGCAATTTTAAAATCTAAAATATGTTTTATTCATTTGAATTTGAAGTTGATATTTTTAACTTTTGAAACATTGTGGTGTCCGTAACCCTAAAGTGGCCATACAGTGACCCATACTTACAAAGCTTCACAAAAGGGTATTTCTAACAGCTTTTGAAACGAAAAAAGTATAAATTTTAATGACCAAAATATTGAACTATTGGTACTTATTTTCTCACCCCGATGAGACACTTTTGTCACAAATACTGTGTTTTAGCCGATACAATATATTAGGTTTACCTATACCTCATGGTCTGTCGAGTGGACGTTAATCTCTCTCTCTCTCTCTCGCTCTCTCTCTCTCTCTCTCTCTCTCTCACGGATTGGATTTGTCATAATAACTTGTTTTTGGTGGGGGGAGGGACGGACTTAAACCCTGGGAACTGGAACATTTCATTACCAAACCAAAATAATAATTTCGAACAGTTTATTGTACCAGTGTTATTTCGATGAAGGCAGTATGTAGGGGTAATATGATGACGATATGGAAAAATTGATAGCTGCGATCGGTCAATCAAGGAGGAAGATATCGTTAAGATCATTAATTGTGGCGAGACCCAAGGCAGTGGTTAGATAGCCTTCAGAACGGGACATTCATATGGATATAAACCTGAAAATCTGTCCTTGCTATCAAAATCATGGGGGGGGGGGGGCAGAGACCTATACGCCCCCCCCCCCCCAGTCCCCTCCCGAATTTAGTTGGCGAAATGAAACTACATAATTTGTGCTAACGTTTTGACAACCGAAGTTGCTCTTCAGGCATTTATTATAATATTAATTATAAACAATATATAAATACAAACCGTGGGGGGGGGGGGAAACACCTCAATATATTGCTACTAATAGTGGGTAATATTATTCTTTAACCGCAAACATTCGATAACATTCGATAAAATTCGAAATACGTCCTCCATCTTTCTAACATCAGCAGGTCTATTGATCTATTTATAAAGAAAGTTCACGATAATACGAGTTGTTTCCCTTGGTGGGTATTCCCCTAAATAATAACCAATGAAATACGAGATGTGCATAAAATGAACCAATCAGCTGTCATGTAAACATGAACTCCACGCGATGTTTCTCGATTGATCTTGACTGTCCTGGGAGATTAAAATAATATATATAGCCGCAAAGTGACACCGTTTAGTCAGATAATATAAAACTGTACTAAGAGAAAGTTGACGAGAATATATAACGAGAAAAGATTTAAACGTTTACGTGAAAACTAGCCACGAATTCCAAGAAGAGAAACTACGTTGAAAAACAGACGAAAAATAGCAGACGAAAAACAAGAATTTGTGAAGACAAGTGTTAACATTACAAGAGAATTTGATAAACTTCGAAACACCAGAATAAATATGGCAAGTAAAGTTAAAGGACCAGCCATTGGTATCGATTTAGGTACAACCTATTCATGTGTTGGTGTCTTTCAACACGGAGCAGTAGAAATCATCGCCAACGACCAGGGAAACAGAACAACACCAAGTTATGTAGCCTTTACAGATTCAGAGAGATTGATTGGTGACGCCGCTAAAAATCAGGTCGCATTAAATCCACAAAACACCATCTTCGATGCTAAAAGATTAATTGGACGAAAGTTTGACGATTCGACAGTTCAAAATGACATCAAACATTGGCCATTCAAGGTGATCAAAACTGGTGACAAACCAAAATTACAGGTGGAATACAAAAATGAATTAAAAACATTTTCACCTGAAGAAAT